GTCTGGAGAACTAGTATCTTCTGGGCATATTTATAACCCATTGCAATTATTTAACCTTTTGCATAGGGTAGTTTGGGGCAAAATCACGCAATTCCGTTATCACCTGTCGTCTTCAGAAATTATAACAGTCTAGAACTTTACTCTTACAAATGCAAAAACGAAATATTGTTGGCAGTTGCTTAACAAATACGCCTTCATAACCATCGTCATTTACTTGGAAAAGTCATTAGGTAAATATTTGGTACAACATTAATGTCTTGCTCTTCATCGTTATAGGAAAAATGAATGTAACAAGAATCAATACTTTGTTGATAGGAGAGTGCTACTGATTCATCAGATGATTCGTCGAAAACTTTTCTTTTGACATCACGAACTTCGGCACTTTGAGATTTGATCTTTTGATTCTTCAGTAATGCTTTCCTCTCCTTCTATTTTTCTGCTTCCTTCATTTCTGCTTGTTCTTCTAAAAGTCGCTCCTTATTAGATGTCGATGTTAGTAGGGTTGACTTAAAACTTTTCCTGGTTCGTTTCCTTTTTATCTTAATTTTTGGGAAAGGAATAATGTCTTAAGGTGTAATTACGGACTGTTCTGATTTTGATGACGGCTGGGGCTCTTTCGTGTCAGTAACAGTTTATTTTTCAATATTTGAAGGATCAGGTATAGAAATTCTGACTACCGATTTTTATAACAGCTGGGTCTTCTTCTTGCTGAAACTGGATAAAAACCTGACCTTGATAGTCTGAATATTTACCTCAATATTGCTCTGTTACTTCGGCTGGCATAAAATCTACGTCCAAAAAAATATTTTTATCTAGTAAGTAGAATCCTGTAGACCGAAAGCCCTCTGTTGCTAAATCTACAGTAGCAGTTTTTGCAAATGCTGTAAAAAAGAGACCAGCCACATGGTAAATTAAATAACCTGTACCCTTCTAAAAGAATAAAATCGGCTTAAATGAAGATTATATTACTATAATCACTGTAATATATAATAAATATATTAAATATAATAAATAATAATAACTATAATAAATGACTATGGCACTAGCTTAATTTATAGTTTGTGTTATAATTATTTCAATATAAATGATATATTTTTTTTATTCTCTGTTAAATTTTGGAAATAACTTATTTCCAAAATTTAACAGAGATTAAAAAATATATCATTTGTATTATCGCAGTTACTTTAATCCCGTAAATTTAAAAGCAACAAACCAGATTTACCAAAAAATATTTTTCTTAATCATGTTAAAAGTTTTTTAAAACTAATTGAAAGTTGTATATAAAAGAGATATTCACAATGGTGAAGATGTCACTGCGTGTATACAGCGTTATATTAACAATAATGTGTGTAATACTTTTCCCGAAAGTTTAAAAGCATTAAAAATTTTGTGTACGCTTCCTCTGACTACCTTCGAAAACGAGTGTGGGTTTACAACCTTAAAAAGAAAAAACTTTTTATTGAAATATCTTGAGACAAGAAAGATCGTGTGTTTTATCTTATCTACGCTAAGTGTAGGAAACGATAAGAAAACATTAAAAACTTTAATAAAAAAATTATTAAATTTAAAATTTTAATATAATGCTCGACGTTTCGGCTCCCGTTTTGGATCCATTATCAAGAGGGATACAGTTCGGTTCGAGTTCGGGGTCTCAATCTGCCTACTCCCCTCACTCGACACGTACCAGTATCGTGTTCTGTATTATAAATACAAGAACTGTCTCTCGGCACTGAGGTCTCAATCTGCCTACTCCTCAGTGTCGAGTGACAACCGGTCTTACCCTGTGATGCTGCTTTTATACTCGCTGTACGCGCGGGAACGGTATATATATATATATATATATATATATATATATATATATATATATATATATATATATATATATATATATATATATATTTTTATATATATATATATATATATATATATATATATATATATATATATTTATATATATATATATATATATATATACATGCACTGACAAACAAATTTTTTGCATAATCACTTTCATGAGATACCCTGGTTAACTATCTTGGTAGCTGGTCTGCCAATAAAAGAGCAAGCTTATATAAAAGTGAAACATTTTTTTGACTCAAGAACTTATGAATCGGCATTCATCATTGTCGTTAAGGAAACCCAATGCTACAAGCCTGGCAAGGTCAACCAGTTTTAACAAAGAAAATATCCAAGCTTTTTTCAACCATCTTAAAACAGTAATTTCACGCTTTAAGTTGTCCCCTGTCAATATCTGTAATTTAGATGAAACCGGGAATTCTTCAGTCCATTCCCCACCTAAGATAATAGCCTCAAAAGGTGTAAAGCAACTGGGTAGTATGGCATTCGGAGAAAAAGGGATCAATGTAACTTTAACTGCTGCGGTTAATGCCATCGGTAACCATGTGCCGCCCATGTTGATTTTTCCTCACGTGTTTTTCAAGGACCACATGTTACATGGTACACCACAGGGTTCAATTAGAGGCGCAAATCCATCAGGATGATCAAACGAGAAGCTTTTTTTACACTACTTTCAGCATTTTATAGCCCACGTTAAGCCGAAAGACCAAGAAAAAGTGCTACTAATACTCGATAATCACGAGTCCCATATTACAGTTTCCGTGATTGATTTGGCAAAGCAAAATAATATTGTGCTATTAACATTGCTTCCACACATCTCGCACAGAGCTTAACGTCTTGACAGGACTGTTTTGGACCATACAAAACCTACTACAATACCATAGCTAATGAGTGAAATATGACTCATCCTGGACGTCTTATAAGCTTGTATGACGTAGCTGAACGCAAAGGCAAGGTATTTGCAAAAGCATGTATCCATGCAAACATTGTCAAAGGATTTAAAGAAACAGGGATATGGCCTGTTAATCAAAATATATTTGGCGACCACGAATATCTGTCGTCCTATGTAACAGTTTGCCCAAATCCAGAATCCTAATATGGCATCTTGCTCATCAAGCTTTCAACTATCCGTAAATACATCAACAACAAACTTGACACCAGCACTTCCACTGCAGTCTAATGACAACAATGCAAATAACGCTAACTTCAAAAGCCCGTTTGTTGTGCTCCCATTCCCCAAAGCCATAGAAAAGACTTCTCAAAAGGGACGAAAGCGTAGTAAAATAAGAATTTTGACAGACCCCCTGGAGAAAGAGGAACTATTGCAAAGTAAGGTGAAAAAACCAAAGTCAGTCAAAAGGAAGGTTCTCTGCGATAGTTCAGATGAATCTGATGAAGAGATGAAAAATATAACAAAAGATTAAAGTGACGAGGATTTAGAAACTTTTCTGGCAAACGAAAATGAAAATCATTCATTAGAGCAACAGGAAAGTGAAGAAATACTGAGCTCTTCTAAATTAAAAGAAGATGATTTTGTTCTTGTAAAATTGGCCAGTATAAAGAATATTGCACACTATACTGCCAAGATAGTTGAGCTTTTAGATGACGAATATATGGTCAAATAATGAAAAACAGTTATTGGAAACAATAAATTTGTCTATTCAGATGAGGAAGTTTCTGGTGTCTCCAAAGGCGATATAATAAAAAAACTGTCTTCACCAGATTTGGTTGGAACATCACAATGCCAACAAAATATGATGTCCGTTAATGTTAAATTTGATAAATACCATGTAAAGTAACCATGTTTATCGTCTTATAATTCATGTAATAAATAACATTCCATTCGTTTGTGTTGTTTCTTCTTAATGGAAGGTAATTTGTTGTCTGGCCACAGGTACAACATAATGTGGACAAAGGTACAACACAGTGTCGTACCTTTAGACGACCTGTCAAAAAAATTTCAAAATTTTTTTAAAAGGTAACTGAAACGAGAAACATTTATAGATAAAGGTTTATCTACTTCTGTATGCTTCAGTGGTCGCTATAAAGCAATTTTTAAATATTTTGAGTCAAACGACATGAAATTTGCCCAAGGGTACAACACTGTCCCCTATAAATAAAATCATGGCATCTATAAATGACCTAGAGAAAGTTGCAGAAAATAAGTTTTAGTACTCTATGGTTTTTCATACGTTTTTTATACAAATGGATTTATAGTATCTAAAAATTTTATATGCATATTTGTAATTCATTAAACATTATATTTAATATATGTTCTTCAAAAGACAATTAATTTATTATTAGTTATGGGATAAATAAAACAAACCATTCGTATATGTCATAAATTTCCTTCGTATTAGAGACAAGCGATTAACCTAAATTGGTATTTAATGTTTGTAATAATACAATGAAATTAGAACTAAAATATTACGTCCATTATCGACCAAAATGGTTATATTGATTTTTAATATGTATTGATTCAGAAGAAAAGAGGTATTATTTGATTAAATCTAAGGTTAAGTAAGAAACATTTAATCTTGTAGATAATGGAATATAACAAAAATCTATTTGTATACAGGGTGTTTCAAAAAGGTATGTCATAAATTAAATCACGCATTCCGGGGACAAAAGTAAATTGATTGAATCCAACTTACCTTAGTGCAAAACTGTACACAAAAAAATTACAGCCCTTTAAAGTTACAAAATAAAATTTTTTTTTTGCATTATCTCCTAAACTACTTTACATTTTGTAATAAAAATCGACACGTTACTTTGTTGTTCTGAAAGCATTTTTCATAAAAAGAAACAACAAAATCTAAGCGTACAGAAAAATTTTAAGGGGAGTGTGCTCTAAGTCTAGCTCTAAGTCTCCCCCCCCCAAATTTTTGAGTACGTTCAAATCAAATGAATGTTGTGGCATCATTAGCTTAAGACATTATTTTTAAAACTTTTTTGACTCTTATCACTTTTTCGAAGAACTAGTTTTTTCCTAGTTGGCCATAAAATTACAATGAGTTTCTACGGATACAATAATTACAAACAGTTCCATCAATAATAGTCAATAATTTGAAGCTATCATTTATTGTGTGAATAAGATTAATATAAAACGTTTTGATATTACAATGGCCTACATATTTCAGGAAATGGCAGAGATGCATTTAACTTTGGGTAAGTTGGATCAGATCAGATCAGATCACGTAGAGACGAGTTAATACAAGTCGTCGAAGAGTTTTACGAGGACTTATATAGAAGTAGACGAGAAGATAAAACAGAAATACAAACAGCCATTTCAAAGAAGATCAAGAATCGAGGTTCCGAACTAATGCCAGAGATAAAGCTAGATGAGATTCGACAAGCATTAAGAAAAATGAAAAATAACAAAGCCCAGGAGAGGATGGAATCGTAATAAAAGCTATCGTAAATGGAGGAGATATGCTATTAAATAAATTAAGGAAACTATTCAATCTATGTTTGCAGCAAAGAGAGGTGCCCAAAGAGTGGAACAATGCTACAACCATCCTTTTGCATAAAAGAGGAGATAGAACGGACCTAGAAAATTATAGACCTATTAGCCTGTTGAACCACATATACAAGCTCTTCACTAGGGTAGTGACATCAAGATTGGAGAAAAAATTAGATTTCTACCAACCGAGAGAGCAGGCAGGATTCCGCTCAAATTATGGTACCAATGATCACCTCCACACAGTAAAAACACTCATTGAAAAATCTGTAGAATATAACAAACCTCTTGTTCTCACTTTCATAGATTTTCATAAAGCATTCGACACGATCGAATTAGACAGCCTTATAGAAGCAATGAATGACAGCAGGATTGACCATAGGTATAGTGAGCTTATTTATAATATTTACAAAGATGCCACTATGACTGTTAAAATAGACAATAAAACCCGACCAATAAAAATAAATCGTGGAATAAGGCAAGGAGATGTCGCCGAAATTGTTCATAACGGCATTAGAATATGCCTTTAAGATGATCAATTGGGACCACAGAGGAGTAACGATAGACGGCGAAAAGCTTAACCATCTCCGTTTCGCAGATGACATTGTCCCTATCACAGATAATTTAGGAGAAGCTACAGATATGATAAACGAATTGGATTTTGCATGTTCGAAGGTGGGCCTGAGAATAAACTTGACCAAAACTAAGTTTATGACAAATTTGGTCCCCAATAACCATTTGACTATTCAAGACAAAGCGGTAGAACTGGTGGAGAAATATACGTATTTGGGTCATGAAATAAGAATCAGCAGGGATAACCAAACATGTGAGATCCAAAGACGAATTACTTTAACATGGGCAGCCTTTGGAAAACTGCGAGACACACTTAGGGCCAACATACCAATCAGCCTCAAAAGAAAAGAAAAGTGTTTGAAGAATGCGTATTACCGGTCATGACCTATGGGGCGGAAACTATGACTTTAACCAAGACCACGGCTTCGAAACTGAGAGTGGCACAGAGACGAATGGAACGGTCTATGCTGGGAGTGACGTTGAGGGACCGAATAAGAAACGAAGATCTGCGAAGAAGGACGAGTATTACTGATGTTGTGGAACGCATAGCGGAACTAAAATGGAACTGGGCAGGCCATGTAGCGAGAATGCACGATTCACGATGGACGAGCAAAATTACAAATTGGAGGCCAAGAGCAGACAAACGCAGTAGAGAAAGACCACCTACACGTTGGGCCGACGACATCAGGCGTATCACTAAAAATTGGCAACAAAGAGCACAAAATCGTGAGGAATGGAGGAGTTTAAGCGAGGCCTATGTCCAGCAGTGGACGTGATAAATAGAGGCTGGATGATGATGATGATGAAGTTGGATCAGATTAAATTATGATGTTAATAAACTATCGGGAATATCGTAGTTGAATGTCATGGAAATAGTGCAGCAGCCGCAAGGCGTTATGCAGTAAAATACCCCAATCGACATACAACCGATAGACGATAATGTCTAACCATTGATCGTCATTTACGGCAAACGGGTATATTCCAACCGCAAGTTACTGACAATAGTGGTCGTCCAATAATAGATGCAACTGATGAAGATATTTTAGAAATCATTGAAGAAGTCCCTGAAACAAGTACAATGGTAATAGCTGCTCAACTAAAGGTTCCTCACGTAAGAGTTTGCAGGCGTTTGAAGGATCAGCTAACAACGGTTCAAGAGTTATTGGTTACAGATTATCCTAAAAGGATTGGATTTTGCGATTGGTCGTTAATGTAAAACACTCAATATGTTAATTTTATTAGAAATATTTTGTTTACCGACGAGGCTATCTTTTTAAATGGTGATAATTATTTGGATTTCTTCGACGATTTACAAGAGTATTTGGAAGAAGTGAATATTGCAATAAGGCAAAATATATGGTTTCTATAAGATGGCGCTCCACCGCATTACAGTAATGAAGTCCGGAAATGCCTTTGCAGGCAGTATCCAGGTCGGTGAATTGGAAGGGGTCGTGACCCACCTATTTCTTGGCCACCCAGAAGTCCAGGTCTTAACCCCATGGACTTTTGCTTTGGGGGTTTATGAAAGAGAAAGTGTATTCTGTAACAATAGGGGACGAACAACAATTAAGGGTTAGAATAATTGGAGCTGCAAATTAATTTCGTCATAAAAATTCCTGGAAACCTGCAAAACTCCAAAATCATGGAGGAAATCTAAAGTAATAGCCTTGTTAAAACCAGGCAAGGATCCAGAAGACCCCAGTAGCTACAGACCTATTTCGCTATTGTGTCACTTTTTTAAACTATATGAGAGACTCATACTCGCCAGAATAGAAAAAAATGTCGACAAGCACCTCATCCCACAACAAGGAGGATTCAGACCTGGCAAATCTTGCACCGGTCAAGTTCTCGCATTAACAGAACACATTGAAGAGGGCTTTGAAGAAAAACTTATAACAGGGGCTGCTTTTGTAGATCTGACAGTAGCCTATGACACAGTAAGGCACAAAACATTGCTCCGTAAATTATACGACACTCTCAATGACCACCATCTGGGAAAGGTCGTATATTCCTTACTGCAAAATAAAGGTTTTTTCGTTATGCTGGAGGGTAAAGTAAGTAGGTGGAGAGTTCTAAAAAACGGCCTCCCACAGGGAAGTGTTTTAGCACCAATGCTCTTCAATATATACACAAACGACCAACCTACTCCAACCGAAATCAAACACTTCCTCTATGCTGACGATCTTGCAATATGTGCTCAAGGAAATAGATTTTAAGAAGTGGAGGAGAAACTCGAAACTTCCTTAAAAACAATGACAGCATACTACCTGCAGAATTCTCTGAGACCCAATCCCTCTAAAATCCAAGTCTGCGCTTTCCACCTTCGCACAAAGGAAGCCAAGCGAAAACTCCAAATTGTGTGGAATGGTAATGCATTAGAACACACAAACCAACCTATATATCTTGGAGTAACTCTGGACCGGTCACTCACCTACAGACAACATTGCATAAAAACAAGAGGGAAAGTAACAACTAGGAACAGCATACTCAGAAAGCTAACGGGAAGTAAATGGGGCGCACGTCCTGGCGTTTTAAGAACAACGGCACAGGCACTGTGTTTCTCAACTGCTAAATATGCGTGCTCCATTTGGAGCAGATATGCCCACACCAAACAAGTTGATACTGCGCTAAATGAGACATGCAGGATAGTAACGGGATGCATGAAACCAACGCCACTTTTAAATCTATATAGAGCAGCGGGTTTTGCAGAACCCTCAACACGCAGAGGCGCTGCAGAACACAAAGAGAAAATTAAACAGATCGCGGATGATCGGCATGCCCTATACAAAGCTCGAACACCACGAAAGCGACTAAAATCTAGGAAAAGCTTCCTTGGAACAGTGCAGGATGAACCGCCTGAGTATTTTCCATTTCCCCAGGTTCAATGGACCGGCCAGACCCTAGACTTTAAAACGTGGAAAACCTTGAATAGAATAAGAACGGGGGTTGCTACAGTAAAATCAAACATGGCAAAATGGGAAAAAATAGACCAAGATGATGTGAACTGTGACTGTGGGGAAACACAGAATATGGAACATCTTCTTACATGCAGAAACTGTCCTCATCGATGTACCCTTGAAAATTTGTGGCTCGCCAACAAAGATGGAACCGACGTAGCCCGATACTGGGCTGAAATTTTATGAATGACATGTCCGGACACAATAAAGTAAAGTAAGTCAGAAAAATATGATTTTTCAGCACTTGGGTTTCCCTATTAAAACGATACCGAATGTGTATTGAAGAAAATGGGGGTCATTTTGAACATTTATTGTAATATCATATTTATAGAGTTTATAGACATTTTTTGTACTTGTTAATTCATTTAAGCCGTTTATTTAGTTGCACGTAATTTTTTAAAGGTTAATGAAAAGGGCCGTAACTCAATAAAAACTTTTTTTGAAAAAAGTGATAGGAGACAAAAAAAATTTAAAAATGATATGTTAAACTAATGATGCCACAAATTGTTTGCCACAATTTTTGCCTTAAAAGATGCAACACCACCTTTTAAGTTTTTCTGTGCTCTTAGATTTTGTTTCTTTTTTATGAAAAATGCTTTCAGAACAAGAAAGTAACGTATCCATTTTTATTACAAAACGTTAAATAGTTTAGGAGATAAAGCAAAAAAAATATTTTGTACTTTCAAAGGGCTGTAACTTTTTTGTGTACACTTTTGTACTATGGTAAGTTGGTAAGTCAATCAATTTATTTTTGTCCACAGAATGCGTGATTTAATTTATGACTTACCTTTTTGAAACACTCTGTTATATACATTATATTTATCGTGCCTCTTAAAATGTACACGTGATATTTTAAATACGAACAAATTTGTTTCAAAACTTAGAAAAAACATATGTTTTCGAACAATATACCATCATTAGATCCATTCGTATTCCTACCCTAACCTCACTTTTGTGTTTCTATTACAGCTCGTGGTTTCGGAATGCGTGTTGTGGGAGGAAAAACAGCTCCCGATGGTCGTCTTTTCGCCTATATTGTCTGGACGGTCCCTGGCGGGCCAGCTGAAAAGGGAGGATTGCAACAGGGTGACAAGGTATGTTTTTAGATTATATCTAAATGTTATACATGGATTATAATACATATGGGTTTGAATTATGCAAAAGGTATTAAAAGGGTT